TAATTGTTAAGCTGTTGAAATAAACAATGCAATTCCAAATTAAGAAGATATCACAAAGTCGCAGTGTGTGTCAGTTGAGTAAAAATTGAAAACTGGAGTCGGCAAATCTTTACTTTTTTGCTTATATATATATATATTTACTTATTTGTTTATTACTTATTCATTTGTTCATTTGTACTTATATGTATATGCGAATAAATTATCTTTACTGTAACGACACAGAGTTTCTTTTTCTTAATATCTAGAACTCTTCGTAAAACCAATTTAAGTCTTCTTCGCTTTCACTGCTTCCGTAACTCTCGCCGTTTTCGCTGCTTTTAGAGTTACTGTAGCCATACCAAGGCTGACTGTCCGATTCATCTGATGAGAAGAAATCAAAAACTCTTTTTTTCAAGGTTCGTCTTTGATTTTCAATACTTGTTTCAGCTGAGTTGTCATAATTTGGATTAAAGCGGTGGTATACAGGTAGCTTGGGTTCGACCATTTGACCAACGAGGGCCTTTTGTGCCTCGTAGTTGTGAATGGCATTTTCAATCAGATTTAGGTATTCAGGCGCACTATTCTCATTTAAATAGGACTGGCCATCTGCAGTTGAATTTGCATATTACACTACTGCTGTTTTCATTGGGTTAGAGGTGGTAATTAGCCGTCGTAAATTTACCAGTTTGTGAGAAGTAATTTGTAGACCCATATTCTTCATCACTGCTGGGAGGTTTGTTAGAAGCAACGGGAAAGCGTATCTTACCATTCTTATTCCAGCCTGTAAAATAAAATTTAAATTTTTTAACAGAATTAAATGGTTAAGTTGTGGTCATTTGCAAATATGAACTGGCAAGGTAAACGAGAAGTAGGTAGTTGGTGATTCTCATAACCTCTTAAATTGACACGTTGTGCGTTGTTTGGTTGGCGTGGCTTCCCAAATCCAAATTGATTCGAAGATCTAGTTGAAGGAACTACAACTCCTACTTGTTCAAAGTCTTCTTCAGTCGACGTTTGTGCTTCTTCTGAGCTGTCTAAAAGCGACAGAAATTATGACGTTTTGTTTTTTGAACGAATTCTGACAGTTGTATTTCACAAGGATTTTTTAGTAGAACAGGACATGAGGTATCAAGTAAAAGTGAAGATAGCTTTCAAATGAATTTTTAATAGAAGCAATAGAAAAATTCTGCTATTGGTGACATGAAAGTTACATTAAAAGATAATAATATAACTTGGAATGCTGTGGCATTATAAGTTCAAGATGCAAATTAAAACTGGCTTGGGTGGGGTAAAAAGGAATTGTTATTTTGGTTTATGGGGCATTTTGAGTGAGCCCTAATAGAGATTACTTTTTTTTGGTTTTGCACTGGATAATTTCTCTATTAATAAAATTGTGTTAGAATCTAGAGCAGGAACTGGAAGTGTACAAAAAAACAGCATTTGTAACACATGCTTCAGTTGAGTTAAAGAAATTTATTAATACGTTTGTTTCTTAAAGAGAAAAAAATTGTGGAAGTGATTTGACCAGTTGTTTCAAAAAAAAAGTTTTTATTCTTCATGATTTATGACAACTTGATTTTGCTTCGTTATTTATGTCCATAATCATTTTTGACAAAAATAACTCTTTTAGTTCTAAATACAACTTTTATATGTACCTGGATTTTTGCGGTTATGAGATAAATTGATTTCGTTTAACCAGTCTAAAATAAATTTTTGTTTGTCTTCTGACGTACTGCTATTTGAAGTCAGCAAATCTGAAAAAAATATGAAACAAAGGAGTAATTAAGGGAATTGACAGCATGAATTCAAATTATTAAATTGATTGTAAGTTTACAACTGGCTATATATCAATTATTCGAGAAAAAAAAGTAAAAATAAGAAGAAAAACAGTGGAGAGACAGTTTTACTGATCATATGCTATATGAACGCTTTTGTTACGATTACCTATGTACACTGCTGTGGCAGCGAATTAATTAATGCACAGTGGTAATGACATCTTCTGAGATGGGTACACTCACGTTGGTTCTTACAGAATATTTTAGTACAGTATTTTCTGAAAACTTCAACCTTGTTGGCTTGATAGTGGAGACAGAAATTTTT